CTAAAATCCCAGTATTACCACTCACAAAAGCTAATTATTTTCGTACATCACGACCAGAAGCGTGGATTAATTTTTTGAAACTTTCAACTCGATTACACTAACCCCATCCCCAAACGGAATGGCGAACCTTTTTTAGTGAAGCACAGAAAACAACAAATGATCCAGAAAATTCTTTCAAAGAATTTCTTCTTTCGACACGCCCTACTTGCACTTAAAATACTGATTAAATCATTGAAAATTAAAATGCGCAACAGGAATCGGAAACACGAACCACGGCATGTCAAGATTCGGTCTCAGAATTGAGCGAAGATAGGCATTTTTCAAACGAACTACAATTCGGAAACTTCGCGGATTTTTCAGCACGCATCCCGAAGCAAATTCTGCGCATTGAAATTAACCTTCGCAAACAAATAAATCTTGAATGAACTCTCCAAGTCACAGTAATGAAACTAATAACTCCCTGAAAATACAGAACCGTACCATCTTAATTCTATCATGAACTTCAGATTTGACGTGGTCATTGCATTTCGATGCGTTCATGCATGCGTTTAACCGTCAAAAAACGACATAATTTTCATTTAACCAGTAACCGTGGGTGTAATCCATTTAATTCTATTTTTTCAAGTTCAAAGATCGAGGAATGCATGAAAGAAAAATATCCAAAAATCATATCATCAACACCCGTAAACGTCAACATAGAACCTTAACGTCTACGTTCTTCCGTTATTATTCCAAGCATACTGAAAAGCAGTCGAGATTCACAAGAGCAACAAACAAATGGAAGAAACGGCAACTGAGCAAGGTGAGATAGGGGGGGGGGAAGAGGAGGAGGAGAATTAGACGCGTCTTTTCGACTCAATCTCGCAAAAAGGCAAGAAACCGATACGCGGAATTGCATTCACCGCCATTAGCTCCTCCTTCGCCTCAAACAAATATCCTGAGAGAGAAAAATCTTCTTCGCAGAAAAACGTACGAGAGACGATAAAGCGAACACGGCAGATGAAATTCCGCTCGTGATCCCCGCGCACGAATAGAATTACCGCGTCGGCGATAATCGAATCAACTCGACAGCGCAACAAAACCCATTTTTTTTCTACCCCCTACTCCTCTTCTCGCAAGTCGTCGGACGATTTCCTCGGCATCGCACACATATCCTTGTCACCTAATTAAAAGGACTCCGCATCCTGCTACCGGCCAATTACGAGTAACTTCGACCCACTTCCTGGGCGCAAACGATATTCCCCTTGCAATGACTGATCCTCAGACCAGGTTTGGATTCAACGCTAGGTAAGAGATATTTAACGAAGATAGATGGGATAAGAATGACCAATGCTGAAGATGCAGAGCAAGTGAAGGCTCGTTTCAACAAACATAAAGGAGTCTAAAGGGGCAGGTAAATAATTCGGCACGACTAGATTCTCACGAGAAATACAGTCGAACCTCTTCCAGTCGAACTTCAAGGGACCAGCAAAAAAATTCAAGTTTCGGAAACACGTATTTGCGTTGGGGGAAAGAAAGAAGAATTACAGGAAATTTTAAATTGGTGATATTCTGAACCTTGAATTGCGTCTCAAGTGAGTTGACAGGACGCTGAACTTGGAAGCGGGGTTATATTTGCTCGAATAGTCTTTCACTACCTCTCAAAACACATCAAATTACATTTTCATTGCTATTATCTTTCCTGTGCCATTAAAATAATAGCCGAAAGGCTTCCAGAGAATTATAATTATTGAGGTTTAAGGAGGAGAGCCTACGACTCAGGGAGATTTTTAATACATGGTTTATAATGGAATTCTTGCTCAAAATCAGAGATGTAAATAGGGTATGATTTTTATAAAATGTTATACAGTAGTATCGTCTATGCGGAAACTTCCAGGACCAGGTTTCGATTCAACTTTGGGTAGGGTGTAGGAGATGGTTGATAAGTTTCCAAGATGCTGAAGACAGAGAGCTCGTTGAAAAATTATACAGTAATTCAAAAATGAAAAAGAAATTATTTTACATGCTTTACACCCACAAAATCATGTTAAACCCTATCCAGTACATCATCAGCTCCAATTAACATGTAACACTTGAAAATTCCAGAGGAAGAAAAACTTCGGAATAGCGAGAAATTACAACAGAAATTCGCTGCCAGGAAGTACTCACGAATTCCTCTTTTCGATTTCAGATCCGAACAAGATGAGGTGAGATCGAAAAAGAGCGCCGAGTAAACTAGGATCCTTATCGTAAATACTTCGGCATGGAAGCGTTCAGAGACGGCAGGGGTAAAACGGAGCCGACGCCCAACTTTGGCATGCAAATTACGTTCGACGACCTCATCAATTACATCGCTTTCCGCGCCAAATTCCGGATCCCCGACGAGTGATCCCCACAAAACGATGCGATGCTTGAGCAGGGCCGATGAAGGGAGAAAAGGAAATGGCGGATGTGAAAAGGCCTTCGGTATGAATGATGAACGCCGCCGGGTTCCGCTCAGCGGGTTTTCAGGGAATACCCGGTGATGCGTTCCCTTCGCTTCTCCCCCTTTTTTCACTACTACTCCACTACCTTGTAACCGATAGTATCCCGGTTTTCTTCCCGACTTTGCACCCACACTTTCATCTCACCGCCTCTATTTCTCTTCACCCCAAATTTATTTTCCGTATACTATACAGTGATCCCAACATCTTGCATGAAGCAACCCCCACTGGACAACCGATAGCACTTCCGAGGTGAGAGACAGAAAAAACCGCCAAAGCTATTTCGGGTACGGATGAATGCAAAAGTTGCAAGTATTCTAGAACCCACCCCGCTCACACAAAATAAAAAAAATTAAAAAACGTTCACACCCCAGGCTGATGAGTTCTCGGTCAAATGTGATCAGAAAAAGAATGAAAAACTGTTCCAAGTTTATGATACTGTATAATACTGTATACAATAATGGTATTTCTCGACCTTTTGACATCCAGGGGTCGGATAAATTGCAAGAAATTGTTCCCGAAAAGGAATAGCTTAATGAAGAGGCTCATATTCAAAGTTTCGGTGTTTTTCAACACGTCCGAGGACAGAAAAGGACAGGCAAGTTTAAAAACTCTGGAACTCTTGCAAGTTTGGTGAAGGAGGGGACAAAGAGGGGGAAAAAACGTCAACAAAAAGTATGCGTCAGCAATACCTTAACAATAAGTAATCAATAATATGTATGCATACTCTATCGGCTATTTGATATTCTTGTTGGACAACCCTGGGCTCAACACACGCACCTTTCACCTTCATTTTCTTCTTAACCTTAATTCAAAACTAATACATGATAACTTATAATTCAGCACTGCCTGGAAATGCTTCTGGCTCAAACAGCCTGTTTCAAAATTTTTCTGTCTCAAATAGCCCCTGTTCCAAATTTTCTATCCTGAATTGTCCTAGATCCATCCGCAGACCAGAGTGAACATTTCTTCATGAGCAGTAATGTACCGACATTCTCGGAATTTTCACATTAAATTCGTAGAATCAAAAATTAAATTTTCAACTGAAATCCCAGAAATAAACCGGTTGATAAGAAATACTTCCTTATTCTGCTGGTCAGTAGGAAATTTGCTCACACCTTTCACGGATGTAAGATAGGTGAAAAACACTGGTCTAAATGTTGCCACCGGTTTTCGCAAAATTAATTTTAAATGGAAATCCAGACATAAACCGATTGATAACGCGTTTCCTGATCCTGCTGGACTGCAGGAAATGTTCTCATACTTTTCGCGGATATAAGATACTGCAGTTGAAAAGCACCGGTTCAAAATATACGATGGGTGAGGGGAGAAATTCGCCCGCGTACCGCCAAAAAATCCCTGCGAATCGATAATGGTCCATAAACGATGAGTTCGTTAAGACTCATTTGCAATTGGTCTTTTTCGATGTTCAGATCAGGCAAACTTGATTCCAGTGGCTCCAATGCAAAATAATTGATCACTAACATTGTATCCACTGAATGATTCGTTATCGTGACTCGATCGGGTAAGAGGATCGGTTGGGTTCTCATCTCTACTGTCTGACTGCATTCCAGAGAACATCGTGGCAGAGAATAACCTGAAAAGTTCGGGAAACGAGATCCGCTTCTAGTGGAAGAAAAGAGCCCCTGAACTTCTAGGTCCCACTTCAAAGTACGAACAGCAAAGGGCACGCTGAAGACGGTAAGTTGAAGGTTCAATGCAATAAATCTCGTCTGGCAAGTTCATTTACAGTCAGACTACTGCACTTTTCTCATAAATTAAGAGAATTAATTTTTTTTCAAGTACACGGTTCAATAGCTTTAAATGCATAATGTTTACGCGCTATTAGCGGCAACTAAGGGCTTTCTTTGCGAAATGAAAATTGAGAATCGAAATAAATTTGCATTCTTGAGCATTCAGACGAATAGTAGAGGATTTCATAAAAATTATACAGGTTTCTTGGATCCATGTACATTATCTTCATTTGAGCAACACCTCAAGTTTAAAAAGTAAGGAAAGATCGAAAACGGCCCCAGGAAAATCCGAGAAACTACAAGACAGAGAATCAATCAGCATTCGCAGGAAATCTCTGTCGTCAAAATTTCAAACCAAGGTTCAAACCAAGAAACCGCCGGCATGAAAAAAACATCGGAATCACTTCTCTCTCCGTTATACCACAAAATGTTTGCTCAAAAACAAGACTAACAAATCTCTACTCTTCTCAACCCGAAATCCGAAAGAGAACATGTAGGCGTTTTATCGGCTTTCGTCGTCATCCGACCGGAAATTCGTTGCCCACATTGCGAGAACGACTAAATTTTCGCAATAATTTTCACTACGACAGCAGTTCGCCGAATTTATTATCCCCAATGGAATTGCCAAATGACGCACTTAGCTCTGCGTCACTCAGTGCACCCCTGCGTATAAAATTCTCAATTACTAGGACGAACGCTAATCTCAAAAAGTACCGTCGTTTTTCTTCAGCGTGAATAGGAATTGAAAAGGTAAATAAATAAAAAGGACCGTCCTGAGCATGCTTCAGATAGCGGCCAATCCACATTCCGACAGAGACCATCGTCGAATTTGAAACTCAGACGGCGGACAAAGTGTCAGAAAATGACCCTCGTCACATGATTTTCCCTGAGAATTCAAAGCTGAAATAAAAAGGGCGAAAATTGCCAGACATTGGCTCTTTTACAATTTTTAAAACAGCGCTTGAATTGCTGTCTAGGACGTCTGACGCTTTGTTTCCTCGCAATCCTTCAATAACGTCCTTCAGGACAGATTACCAGATTTCTTTCGCATTTAAAAATATCAGTGTAACTAAGCGCACTCAGTGATAATACGGTAAGGAAATGCCAGATTGTTGATACTGCTGTATGGAAACCATAAAATAACTCGATAGCAAAACGCACGAATGTTCAACTCTCTGGAACGTACTGCAGAAATTTAAAAACCCCGAGAACATTATGTTTTTTTTTTTACTCCACCTGATGCTATCCCAGAATTACTTCGCGAGGAAAACCTTTCCAACCTTTCCGCAAACAAACCGACGGTGCGGTTTAATCTGCTACAGTATTTCACATTTTCTGAGGGAAGTTATCGCTGTGACCTGGATAGTACGTACCTATTCCCTTTTAAAAACAAATACTGCACATGTACAGCGTTTTCCTCCTAAGGATAATTTCAGATACTGCATAAAATGTATGAACAGCGCGACGACGCGTCTTCTCATTCACTAGCAATTGAGGCAGGTTTCGAGTTGAATGGAATTATTCAGGTCCTTGAACTAATCCAATCAAAGAACCACGACTTCAATCTAGGGATTTCCCCGGGGAAAAATGACTTTCAAGAGACAATTACGCAGTTTTCGCGAACAACTTATTTGACATTTCACGCGACACAAACTCTATTTACAATTGTTCTGAAAACAAATAAAATATATTCGGAGAAATAATGTACAACGCTATCAGAAAATGCGCTTCCGGCATCACATGCAACTTTCTACAATATCAGGCGCATCAACGCCGGGTATCAGAATTAATCTCTTCAGAACTCAGATTACATGCAAAAAAATATAGACGGAAGATGAGAAACTGAGATTACAATTCTCACAAAACCCGGTTCACGCGATCCGGAGTACTGTAGTTTTGCACGAAGTGCAAAACTACAGTTTTCGCATGAAGACGCTGTATCGTATTTTTAAAATAAATATTGACCGTTCGCGATAATTAAAATCAGGGAAATTACTGTACTGTATAAACTATCACTGCAAAGATAAACATACATGAGTCGTGTTATCAATCAACACTAATCACAACAAGCTCCTCAACTATTGATTCGAAGTCGCTAACTCTCATTCACGGATACTGTACATCAATAATCCATGAAGCAGATCCTGAACAGGAAAAACACGTTGACTCAGTGATTTATTTCGGCGACACGTGGGAATTCGTTAAAAAACCATCGAAAAATTTAGCGGGGAAACCTTGAAAAATGTCATTTTGGGATGGTTTCATATTCACAACGTTTACGTGATATCAAATGAATGATCCAGAAAATCTCAAATCCTAAATGAGTTCCAGGTAACAGTTATAGAAATAAAAATGCCCTCCACGACCATCCGAAATTACAACTTTACAAGACTATTTTTTTCTATGCAAGAACTTGAACTTGAATTCCAGAGGGAACTTATGACAACCGTAACTCCAAACGGAACTTGTGACAGGTTATCAATTATTAGTGTGAATACCCGAACGAACGAGGAAAAATCTGTGAATTTCATGAACGTTTGCAAAATGTGAATTTTTATCTAGTCTACACGCCACCAAATATTGTTGCATGTTTAAGAGGAGATTTTTAAATTACTAAAACTCCATTTCAATGGAAAAACCGCTCCGATTTCGGCAAGTTTAGTTGCACTTAAACTGCATAGGAAGGTTGTCTAGATTTAGAAACATCAATTTCCGAGGCTGAATTCACGCCTTCAATCGTAACACAGGCCAGATTCAACTCTGGAGGTGTTTATCCATCCGCTTGGCGTTACAGATGATTTTGACTCAGAGTCTTGGAAAGCACAAAAAAAAACTCCATTCAAAGGCTGTATCATGACAGGACTCACGAATCCTCTCACGCATTCGACAAACAAAAAATAAAAAATACGGTGAAGAGGAGAAGAAGAGAAAAATAACGAAAAGTTATGACTCACCTTCCCGAGGCACTTTCGTTTGTTCATGGCGGCCAATGCGTTTGCCGCCGAGTTGTGGTCGGCAAACTCCACGAAGCAATACGGATCGCCTCCAGTCTGCGCTCGACGCCGTCCGAACAAGACATTCCCCGAGTCGTCCATCAGGCATCACGGAAAACGAAACGGAACGGGAAAACAGAAGGACGCAGGTTAGCAAAAGTTCACACAAGCAGGCCCAAAAAAATGAACATTCTCCGCCTGGAGCCAGGCAAAAAATCGGGAGGGCTGGGATACAAGAACCAGTCAGGAAAGAGCGAGAGAGAGAGCGAGAGAAAAAGAGAGAGAAATAAAGACCGAAATAGAAGGAAGGAATGAATCAATCAATCAAGAAGCCATGTAGTAAAACGGTTTCAACTACGGCTTGGACACGAAAAAAAAAGTAGAACAGAGAAAATTTGTTAAAATTTTAATTTCAATAAAGAGGGATACGTCTAACACCGGATTTCAATTCGAAAACGAAGATGAGCCCTCGTTCAATAAACGAAGTCCGAATCAAAAGAATCCCTCTCTGTTTTCTTTTGAGCGTAAATGCATTCCACTCTAACTAAACCTGGCGGAACACAACAGCATTTAACGAAATGAAAAAGAAGGGCTCTTTTTTAACGTAAATTGCTGAAAACGAGAGACTTCAAGGCGAAAATGTTTTGAACTATATTTTATTCTACTCGCTGAACAGAGAACAATTATTGAAGAATACGAAACAATACAAACTAGACAACGAGCCCTCCTCGCCTAAAGGTCACACAATATAATGTATAATCTTTATTAAACGCCTAAAACTAAATTTGCATTATTTTCTCTTCAGAAACCGAGGATATAGAAAATCGCTAAATTTATATCAAACAGATGAACAACATGTCTTCATAATGCAAAAAGATGTTGGGATAAATGTTCCATCAATTAGTGTAAGCTTCAGGGGTACTTTATTTTCTATTTTCTACTCTTGAAATTTACAGAAAACCATTTTTACGAGTTACACGCCAATGTTTGACAGTTGAAAATTTTTCAACTCAACAAAGCAAGAAATTTATTCCAAGGATAATCTTTTAATTTAAAATTCATTTGCTTAACAATCAGCAGATACGTTCACTTCGACTTGATTCCAGAGATTCTTTTTTGAGCAGCCCTCGATAGTAAGAAAAAATCTTCAGTACTGTACTCTGAAAATATATCCTCGGCTTGACAGATTCAAACGAGCGACAGACACATCGACAACCTTTCATCTAGATAACGTCCCTCAATGTGAATAAATCGATAACCCAGGTGAAAAGCCCTCGAACAGCAAAAAAAGACAGCATTATCGGGTCCAAGCATCGTTAAGCAGCATGTGTCAGAAATGGTTACCGACTTCAGTGCCCATAAAACCAGTTTTTAACAAATATCTGTTCAAAACACGTAAGTAAAAACATCGTAACCACAAAAAAAGGTAACAACGGATAAGTGGAGAATAAACCTCCGTACCTGGCGTTGGCCCGACATGTTGTCACGAGAATCGCAGGAATCAACTGAAACGTACATTTCATAACGTCGCAAAAAATCCATAACCTTCCGGTCCGCACGTGGATCGGGCAATAAAATAAAACCTCCCCAACGGAGAGACCAAAGATTTTCTAATAGAAAAGAAAATTTTGAAAACCAAAAAAATAATAATATTGAAAGAGAAAAGAAACTGTTGGGCCGTCTTTCGACAGCCAAGACCTACGGAAGTTCATGGTCATTAGGAGAAACTCAGCCAAAATCGCAGGCTACGGTTTTCGAAAGCGCAAACCTGGAAGAGTGAAGCAACAACGGGCAAGAACAAGTTATAACGGCGTGCAAAAACGTGTGTAAAAAATAAATAAACTTCATTCGTAATCACACCCATTCGAAAAAGAAATTTCGAATTTTCGACCCTCAAATCGTCTTTTCTCGCAATCTGAGTTCAGATAAGCGGAAGTTAACTTACGACTCACAATACGAGCCTTCGAAGAAATTTAAAAAAAAGAAACGAATGAAAAAATGCGTCAAGTCATGCACTAAATTTAAAAATCTACAAAAGAAACGAACTGACTAAAAAAACTGAATGAAAGGAAAAATAAGTCAAGCACCAACCGGGATGAAGAATAACACCACATTCAAAAAGTATAAATTCTGCAGAAAAATTCATACGATCGGGAATCTCGCGCAGCCTCAGGACACCGCTCACTTGCGCAATTCCGGTCTAAAAAGGCCGCCCTTGTGTCCCCCGCCATCTTGAAATGGAGAACGTCGCCATCAACAAAACTTTACGAACAAGACCAAGCCAAACTTTACAAAATATGATAAAATATTGAAAAAAAACAGGCGAAAACAGGAAAAACCGGAAGCAATACCACATTTAATAAGAAAAATGCGTAATATGTTTATAAAAAAGAAGGGGGAGAAAACGTCAAAGGTGCTCCAGCCACCGCCTCAAATGCGTCCGTGAGACGAATGAACTGCTATCAGCCATGGGATGTAAGTCTTGAGCTTGACTCACCCTGGGAAATTCCCATAACAACGGGTAAAAAATAAACACTTCTCAGCCAATGAGGTAAATAAAGAACCGATTCACCCTACCCTGCTAGTTGATGTCGAAAACAAGCACATTAAAACCTGGCAAGAAATTCGCTGGACGAAAAGCGCACGTGATCATGTACCGGGGTTTGGAACAAAGAAGTATTTACCATTTTTAGGGTAGGCTTTCATGAGATAAAGGTCAATAACTCTTGGACATTAGGCTAGGCAAGTTCAATTTATTTAATGAATAAATTGATTAAAATTTACCTTCTGACTGATTTGGGAAACTTCCGATTGCCCTGTTTCTGCGTGATATTTTGCACAGAACTGCGCTCAACACGACAAGCTCTAACAAAGACAAGGCACAAAATTTCAAAATTTTGTTTGCATTATTGTCCACTTCCTATGAGTTAATTCTTCTCTTTTCGTGTAACGTATTCCTTCCCCTCGCCGTCTGAGAAAGACGAGAACTAAAACGCGAGGAAAAAATTTTTGATTTCGCGTAAATCTTGAATATTCGATTCATCTCTCCAACTTCAAGCATGATCGAAAATTGCGATTAAATCTTTCGAATTCGTTTTTACCGCTATTACAAAAAGTAACTCCTCGCACGCATTGCCCAAGTTTAGAAGCACACAAACGCTATCATACAATCGGAAAAATTTTCAGAGGTATGTATTTCTCAAGCAGGCAAAAAATTCTGACGCAAAATATTCTCGAGAAATTGGATCTTGAACTTACCATCACAACATTCGCAATTTATTCAGAAATAGGCACTGCTACAAATAAAACCAAATTTACTTTAATTCGAAAATGCGGCAAGACCTTTGCTTGGTGATGACTTTTAGCTCACGCATGATTTCGATGAAAATGTTGAACTAGATAAAAACGTACAGGAATTCCGACATCCCATGGATAAGCCCGCAAATAACCTCGAGTTTGACGTCAACCCAACCACCTCAGCAACATTCATTTCGTCATTTTTGACTTTTCAACAGAAATTTCCCGTGAATTTTTTGAGGACCCCGTCAAATTATGGCGTCATCCGGGCGCAGACGAGACCAGATATAAACTCAAGAACCGTTTCCCGTGATTGCGTCGCGTAATTCAATCCGAACCTGATTCCCCAGAGAATATCTCGGCAATCATATCTTGGGAAAAGCCCGCCCGCGCGGGAGAGTACTGATCCCGCCCTGATTTCAATTTCGAAAAAGAATATGGGCGAAAACCTCGGCGTCCAACCGATTGAAAGCATTAAAAAAAAAAACACGCAGACGGAAAAGCAAAGCCCACCCCCCGGTGTCGTGACCAAGCCCAGTGAGCCGAGGGAGGATGATAAACCCTCACGCTGATGAACGCCGGAACACGGAAGCGATCCAATTTCCCGACAAAATAAATGGAGCTCAACCACCTGTACACGACAAACGAGGTCCAGTCCAACAGAGGAAACGAAAACCGGAGGGCTCAGAAAAAAAGAAAAGACGCAAGGGAGGGAAAATAAAAAACACACTCGGGTCAGTCAGTCAGTCAGTCAGTCACTCACTCATTCACTCACTCACACTCCCTCGACTGCCCACCTGGCCTAAAGATAAGCAACGCCGTGTCGAGGAATATAAATTAAATACGAGGTGTTCATAGGCTCGCACGATGGAGAAATGGAAATCGGCCGTTTGCGCACTTGGCGGGCAACGCGTTGCCGTCGACGACATACGTACCTCCACACGCGACACTTCAAGCAACGACAGCGACGTTCGTCGGCATTGTGTTTGCTCGCCGCTGCGCACGAAAAGAAATCGGAACGTATCCAACGGACCCGATCATCACTATTGGGATCCGTGCTTTTTTAAAGCCTATAGAAATTTACTCAAAAAAAACACAACGGTATCCAAATTTTAACTCGAAAGTTCGTTTCGCAAACACGCGGAATATCGTCAAGCTTCATGCGAAAAAAAAAAATTAATCTTCAAATTTGTTTTCATTCTTTGCCGGGCGCGCTTGAACACTTGTATCCCAAAAATAATGTACTGTATCTCAAATTCAACAGCTGAAATTCAGTGAAAGTGAATTTCTATCGCGTTTTCATCCACACAACCGAGGGTTCGTTCATACGTTTTTCGGAATCTTACATATCCTATTTTGGGTCTTGTTGGGAGGGTATAGAAAGAAATTTGTACCATTAAAGCAACACTATTTCTCCATTTTCTCTTTTCTTACTTAATGTTTTTCTCACCCGGGTTGAAATGGAGGAAAGACACTTTCAACAATGATGAAAATTTAAAGTTACTGCACTCGAAAGTTTGATGAATCCGAAAGCGGTCCAAGTGCCACCATATTTTTACAACACTGTAAATAAAATACATACGTTTTATTTATATTCATGCTCTAATTTAAATGAGTCCGGATTTCAATCGTACTGCACGTGGAGGTTTTAAAAAAATGTATCAGGTGCCATCAGTTTGAAATTTTTCAAGTCTACAATTAATCCAATTCGCATTATCGATCTCACATAATTCACAAGAGTATAAACCGAAAGAACTCAATGTCAAGTTGATGTAACATCTTCGAAATACCCCTCGCACCAACTGACTCAATGGAAAAAAAAAGCAGGAACAAAGGCGAATATTTGGAATTACCTTTTTTCTAAACTTTAAACAGGAAAGTTTTCGAAGTGGAAAAGCCAGTGCATGACGAAATGAAGCAAGGTTTTGAAAAGAGAAAAAACGTCTTTCGCGCAAGCTTTGATGCAAACTTGAATGCAGCCTGAAAAAAACCTCCTCTTGGACTCGAATACAAACGGCACTGATTTGCCCAAGAAACTTTCTCACGAATCGGGCTAATCGACGTCCACTTTTTCGCACTGGAGCTTTTCAAAACTTTTCCAAACGTAGAGAGAAAGACAGACAAAAAAGTTACACAAATCGCCTAAAAAGTGACCGGATCAAAAGTAATTGAAAAAGTCAAGACGGAAAACTCGAGTCGGCCGCTCTTTCAATCGCAAAACCTGCCGACCCATAATCTCGTGCAAAAACAGGAGAAAATAAAAAAGCCACCTCACGCTCGACCATCGACACGAAGCCACTTTAATTTCCCCGAGGTTTCTATTTGTTCCCCTCGACATGTAAAAAATTTCCATGCGTGGAAAAACTGCTTCGCACGGCTCGGCAAATTTGCAGCCGACTAACAGAGTGCGACATGCGGAAAAAATATCCCACCTCTCGCTCTCGTCACGCGAATCCTACTCTTGAACACCGGGAAACGTCGATTTTTTTTTTCGAATGAACGATCTTTCGGGAAATCTGCAGCAAAAAATAACTTTAATGAGCTATTATTACATGCTTCTTTGAAGGGAAAACGATTCCGGGTGCATAAACGACAGCTACATATTAAGAGAAGCGCCGAATACACTCGGTTTTCTACGCTTCTTGATGCAAACAATTTTGTTTGTCAAATATCCTTTAATCGACAACTTTGAAGGGAAAACGATTCCGGGTGCATAAACGACAGCTACATATTAAGAGAAGCGCCGAATACACTCGGTTTTCTACGCTTCTTGATGCAAACAATTTTGTTTGTCAAATATCCTTTAATCGACATATCCTCTGTTTAGACCGCACGATAGTGACCCTCAAGGGCATACAATTTATGTACCCAACAAAGCCTTCCAGTCTGTTTTCAATAAATTTAAAAGAATTTTAAAAACCACGTTTCTTTTTCTAACGGTTTGTGACCTTTTCCTTACTCGGAATAAAAGACAAAAAACTACCATTATGAAGGCATTCTCCGCTTCAATAAATGTTTCGAAATGAAATTCGTTTTATTATGAAAATTCTTAGAAACCACGAAAATTATGGTTATATCCGAACTTTTGCGGGCAGTTGAGAAAATTCTTCGACATTTCTGACATACTGTACGTAACAAAATCAAGAGGAGTCCTGAACAGTCTTTTAAAACACAATAAGTCCAAAAAATTTTCAATAAAATAATAATAATGTGATGTGAATTTGTTGAGATTTCAAAGGTCGATGGCCCCCTACTCCGAACAGCGCCATCTCATCCGAGTATTCCGAAGCACGACCATTCCCTAACGTTTCTCCCCGCCAGATGTTGTCCTTCAAGTACGCCTTCTTCCAAAAATTGCCCCGGAAAGCTTCCCATTTTAGCAATACAGAGGCTAAGCGTCATGGCACGATTCATTCCCGAGAAATGGGCGGGCGTTCCTATCCGTCGCATTCAAATCGCCTAGTCAGTGCAGTAATTGCCCCATAGGAGAGGAAAGAAAACCCTCGACGGATCGCGGGCACGAGAAGAGGTACAGTAATCGAATGAAGTCACGCCGAAAGCTTCCGCTCAGTGCCGTGCAGAAACGCAGGTGCGTCGAGAATCCGCGCCAACGCGAGCCAGGACACGGTGCACGAAAGCCCTTGCGGCTAATAACGACTGACACTCACAGCGGAAGCGAATTTCCGCTTTCGACAGATACTAACGAAGATTCTCCGCCACAAGCCACATGCTCACCACTCAGAACTAAGAGGGAAAAAGAGGCACACCTGCTGCCCACTGTGCAGAGTTCAGCACCTACGCAAAAACGACGACGACAACGATGACGAACACATACTAGCGGCCTATCGGGATAGAAAATCACGACCCGGGCGATTAGCGTCTACAGCAAAGTCACCTGCGTAACTGAAACTTCCACGTCCAGCTGCCTGTCCGAGAACGATTCCAGCGTTGGAAATGCGATTATAGCTCTTAATCTCTCGCTCGCAAGAAACTATCTCATTCGTCGAATCATCTTTTCCACGAATGTAAAACTCTCATTGTGACGAACAAGCATCAATTCCTTCTCTTACACAATGCAAGGTTTCCCTAACCTAGACGTTTTATCAGACTCGCATTGACGTAATCTTGGCACACGGACGAGGCTTCATTTATTCCAGCCTTTTCGAACAAAATGCAGTAATTTTCGGCCAAAATGTATAAACAAAACGAACAACTCGGTAACCTGGTACCGAAGTCATAAAATGAAAATTCATGAATTGTCTAAACCGACACTAAGCTAACCTAATGTGTTAGCGTAGACTTGAAAATGTGATACACCGGTAGTGCATACATCAGAAAAAACCAACATGAGACATACGCCAGAAAGAATTTCACCTAAGCAGTAGGATGAAGTAAATATTGGCAGAACAATTGAGAGGGTAACTTTTAAAAAGAAAGAACAAAAGAACGCATCTGAACTTCAAGCCATGTTACAGAATAAAACTAAAATACGAGTTTCTTTCTATTCGTGCACAGATCATTTTTGAGAAAATTACGGTAACGGCCCCTCAAGTGAGACGCGAATCTTGGTTTTTCAGTTCGAGATTTTCATTGAATTGTATTCCTGAGTAAGACACGCACCCCATTTTTCGAGACTTTAGAACTGCAATATTTCAAACTTGAAAACGCCCAAATTTCAATTTAGACATGAATTGAACCTGAATTCGACTAATTTTAGATTTTTCCCAATAAAATACATTTTTTGTTGAACTTGGTCCAATATTTCCCAATTAAAGCAAGTATAATGCCCACCTAAATTTAATTAAAACTTTTTGAAAAATGGTTACACGAATATAATACGCATCCCCCTTTTTTCTTCAATTTGAGAAAAATGCGCGCGTGGTACTCAATTAAATTACGGTATTCATCATCTGATTGCAGTTTTCACGGATTCCTCATAAAGCACTTCTTCAATGATAGATATACAGTGATCCGATTTCTCGAGGAAATCGACCTCTTATCACATCGAGAAAGTGGACAGCGATCAAAATTCTTGCAAACGCCGGATACAATTGATTAGCCGCCCCGGGACGAACACAGAAAAACGTGAACAAATGTACCTGCGATGTTCAACATCACGCGACCTGACACGCCGCAGGTGGTTTCAGGGAAATAAGACATTCGGAAAATTCGAGCAACGTGGAGGATTGCTCTTCCCGATGTCCACCCGACAAGGAAGAGACACCTGCACTTCCGGATCCGGCACCCAGGAACACGTTCTCCGACACAGCGTTTCATTTCATACTCGAGAGCGTTCGCTAAACCCTGGGGACTGTGGGATTCTACAGAAAAAGTAATTAGTGTCGTTATTCAATAACCGAGGTCCACCTTTCTTCCGGTTTTTTTCGACACGATGAAAAATTATGATACACTTTTCAGACGCGGACTTCGGTGCCCTTCTCAAGAAAGATCTGTTCGCGCGTCCGTTCCGAACCTCCACGAAGTCGTGGTTTGGAATAGCTAAAAGGCATCAACTTGAAAAGAAATTGAAGCAGACGAAAACCGTAAAATGATAAACTGTTGTTCTGAAAAGTCAAATTTTATCTTTTCTTCAGTGTAACCGCAACATACACTTCCATAAGAATGCATAGAAAAGTGTAACCCGAAAATTCGAAAGACGAGCAAACATTTTCTTTGTAAGGCCAGAAAATCGAGTATTGCATCCCACCACTTGATAAATCAGGAAGAAATTAACGTTTTGTAGAAAATAATGGCTTGTAATAAGTTCCACTTCAAAAATGCACTCTCGAGTTACCACGGTCTTCTTCAGGACGATATTTCAATTATCCGCATTCAAGGAACATTTCATTTCAAGCCGCATTCAAAACTAGGGAAATCCCATTTCAAGCTTCGCAAGTGCGACGCATTAAAATCGTTAGCAGAACGTCAAGCACATTAAAGTGTGAGAACTTTTTCCAGGACATATAAATATTAATTTTTGCTCATTGAAACGCAACCAGCATAAACACACAATTGATTCGGCAAATGAAATGGCTTTCGAATTCATTCGTAACGCGTGTGTGAAAAACTTGCGGGCGAACGACTTCGACGCGGATACATTTCCAGTCGGTGCTGTGTCGATATTCGAATATCTACTCAGCACCGATGAGAAGCGATTTCGACCGGCTTACTAATATGCAAGCGTCCACCGAATGCTGTGATCAGGAACATAATCGAAAACGATCGCAGAATGATGTCGAAATATCACGGGAACTCCCCGTTCTTATCAGTGCCGCCACCACTTCAAAACTCTCGATAAAAATCATGTTTCTCAGAGCAGAAGAATGTGTATGCAAGCACGTCAGGGAGGAAAAAAACGAATAGAAAAATAAATAAAATCACCCTAACCTAAAGAAGTCAGCAACGGAAAGAAAAACAAAGACTCGGAATCGACGGAGCAGAAACCAGGGGGTCAGCAGATAACAAATGGAAAATAGCAAACCCTGTGAATACCAATGACAAACCAACCCGCGGAGACAACAACGTGACAAGCAAAAGCGGCTGGGTCGCCACACAATAAAAATTGGAAACTCGTTTACCGTGAATCTTTCGCATCATCCTCCTTTTCTAACAGCCCATAGCGCCCAAGACCCTCTAAAAACTCTCAATCGCCGAGGCCTTACCGCGCCTCGCGACGAGAGGTTCAGAAAACAGTCCAGGAACAGAGAACATAAAAATAAAAAACAGAAAAATGAGTGCTTTCATCTGGGTCGAAACGTTAGATTACGAGACACTGCATGACATTTTTCACGAACGGTTCATCAACGTAAAATCTGACGACTGTTCTCAGATTCATGTGCCGTGACAATTCTTCCACGCCCCCAGATGAAATCACGCAGAAGTCGAAAACCAATGCAAAAGGGTATAACGGAGCAAAAAACGAACAAAAAGGTTGCACAATGTCGGAAAATGAACTCACGGTTTCCTCCTCAGTCTCACTCATTCTCTTTTATCCTCGGAGTCGGGGAACAGGAGAAAAAACTCGAAGGGAAAACGCAGAAGGGGAAAGAAATTGAGATTATTGCATAGAATTTGGCATATGACTCAAAACACGAATACAATTCTCACATGGTTAAAATAGCAGCTTTAAATGAAACTAAGAAGTTCTAGTTTATTTTATTCACAGCTCGACCACCGATTTCCTTAACGTTGAAATTACTCCTCAGAAATTAATGTGGGCATCATTTAGAAAAAAAACCGTGCAAGTAATATACAACAATGTTATTCAGATTGGAGTGAAGCCACGGGATTCACCGAATGGTTGCTAATCGAACATTTTTGGACTGGAACTTCACATTTGCTGAACATTTAATTGCTGTAAAAGTACTGTCCTTCGCGCATAACACGAAAATATCGCACATAACTTCCTATTTCTTTGCGTTTATTATTGCTCACTGAGTTCAATTTATTCTACGACATATTAGCCAAAGTATTTAAATCCTCAACGCACACAATTGAAAATGGAAACAAGGATAGAAGACAGAAACCATTCAAGTAACCCGTATTTGGGAAGCGTTACACAATATCTTCAAAAGATGTCATTTCGATATTTTCAAACTGTGACGAAGCTGTTCTAACTAATTTTCGACAGGCCGTAGGAGAAAATCAGACCGACAGGGAAAGATAATATAAAACATACGTATTGCAGAAAAAAGTACCTGGCTCACGCATATTCTACCGAATCTCTCGGTTCACACAGATGAAGCCAGGAGCTCTTTGATCACATTTTTCCTCTGCGGAAAAAAGGGAAAATTTCCACGAGACCTGAGCTGATGCGATTTTCATTGGATTCTCCCAAAGCATAAAGGCGATCAAAATAAAATAAAAACGTTTTCCACAGACGAGCAATAAGGCTACGAGTGTCAGTGCGACAAACAAAAATTAAAAATTTCAACATGCTGAAGCAAAAACCACCACAAGCAAAGAATTCGCAAACGCGAAATCAAAACTTTCTACAGAGTACTGTATTTGAGATACAACAAATATGAAAATTGGATCAACAATTAATGCCGAAACCATTAAGATTAGTCTGTACATCAACTAATTTTCTACCGTTAACATATGATCAGGAAACGCATTAAAAAGCCTTCGTAATTGAAGGAAGCGGAGCGTACATGCTCATAGTGGGTATGTATGAATTCTTAATCCCAGTGCATCATGACATACATTAGTGCGGCTCAAAGAAAATTTGGGAAGTTCAGTGAAGAAACAAATAGTTGTGAAAAGCGAGCATAGAAGACAACCAACAGAGCCCTACTCCACGTATTTGTGACACGAACGCAAAAACAAACACGCGGCGGGACGGTGATAAAGCAAACACAGCAGCCTTTGATTTAATCGCCCCCTACAGACTTGCAAAATCACATACGCCTTGCTGTTTATGACTAACCTCATGTATGATTTTGCATCCTTTGACAGGGCCGATCACACCGAAGAGCGCTAGGATCAATTCTTCCGAAGCAGACGCATCGAGGTTTCCTACGTACCTGATGATTCAATCAATCGCATCCATGATCAAGAAGACAAATTAGGATAAAATGTTGTAACTTACAGCGTTCGAGGTTTGTTGTCATCTTGAGTCTGAAAGATGAATTGAAAAGAGAAAACCACATCAGTTTCTCAAGTTGTTATCAAAAATATTGAAAATTCGTACCGTCGAACGAGAGTGCAAGCCTTCGGTAGCCATACTCATTGGAGAACGCGAAAATTTCGAAACACAGAATGTAACGATCACAGCGATAAGTTAGAAAACTGCACACTTATCACCAGAACTGCGGACACGAACAACATAAACTTTATTTCAGGGGAACATCACTCCGACGTCCTGTACGATGCGCAATTCGACGATCCAGCAGATTGAAGGTCTACTTCGATTTTAGCCGACAGAAGACAAGCAGAAAATTCACAACTTTGTCGATGCAGAAGTAGATTCCCCGTGTCAGGAAATAATGTCTTCTTCTTCCGACGAACACAAACCCAAGCAACAAGTGATTCTCCTCGTTTATCAAAACGAATGGCATTTGGATAGGTAAATAAATAAAACCGGAGCAAGAAGAAACTTCGACACTGCCCCCAATTATTCACTGGTTACACGTTCACCGCACATTTTCAACTCAATCCGGCAAGCGCAACTAGCGTAAATTCGTACCGCGGCTTGCTGAATAACGTATGGACATGCGATCCGAACGAATTGTTCATTGTGGTTTCAACAGTAATATAGATGTCACTATTTACCAAATTCTCGTGGATGTTTAAAATAACACCAGGCGTCGCCGTCGCCGCATCATGTACAGTACACTATACTGTACTATACTGTACAGTACAATAATACGCACTAAGTTGCAGTGCGATCACATTATTGTTTTAACCTGGCAAGGATTTACAAAAATCAAGGATGCATGTGGGATCATCAGATCTGTCTTCAAGATCATTGCCAAAGCAACATAGTTAAGTAATGAATGCACACAGTATAAAAGAGATTGCCAAGCAAGACAATAATTTTTGGTGTCCTCGCTGGACCATGCAGGTATTTTGTTTATTATTTTTCTTTTATGGGAGTCTAGGCAATGCATTTGTTAGGCAAGGCACAAATGTACAATATACAGTATTAGCTGTTATTCAGCTGCATGCGGCAACTATGCTGAAGGCTGCCTCAGCCTGACACATTACATAGGTGGGAAGGTCGAAGTTGAAAATCGGAATCATAATTCCATGGCTTTGATGCCGATGGAAACCTTTACAAGTTTACAGTATTGGTCTTGTATATAATACAGTCCAGTATAGAGCATACTGTATGGCGCATATAGTGCTTCCTTTCATGGAATTGTGTTTACATTTATTACTGGTATGTCAGCCTGTCAGGGCACATTACCATCAGCTTCAGCATTCTGCAATAATCACAACCCAGGTCCCTTGCCCAAAATTGAGCGCATCTTTTAAATGAAAGCAATATGTTGCTTTCTTTGCAGAGGAAGTTGAACAACGGAGCGGAAGCATGATGCAAGCTTTAATACGAATGGAGGTACAGCTGCATCTGCAGTATTTCATTGAGTATAGCAAGCTTTCACTGCAATCCAACAGATGCTTTCGTTAGTAAAATGAATCATATACGTTTCAGATAACTCAATAATATAATGTATTAGAACTATCATAAGCTGAGTCAACCCTCCACATTGGAGCTACACATAACTGATGCACATGGATGATCAACACCTTGACAGCAATTTGATCAAAACTTGTGTATTGAGGCACAGTTCTCAAGACATAATACTGTACTGTATATGGAATCCTTGGAGTAGAACATTTCGTTTACTCGGAGGGGCTGGACGGATCACGACCATGCCTGATGCGAGTTTTTTTCGAAATTACCAAAAAACAAAGGTGCTAACGCTTGCATTTTCCCAACCCTGCATTATTACTTTAATTTATACAGGGCCATTATCACAAGTGATTCTCCTGAGCAAAATTTACTTATCTTCTGCTTGAAACAATTATGTAATCCCACGGAATGTTCGATTTTAAATATTCTTTTGAATGCAGTTGTAATGTTCCGACTCAACAAATCTGCCCCAACATCCAGCAGGCAATGTCTTTGATGAACAGAAATCTCTTGATAATGAACACTTGGAACATTTCTAGACACATCAAAAAATTTTTTCCACATTTTTGAGATCTCTTCAACAAACTGAGGTCATATTTTCAGAAAATTCAAATAAATTCAACAAAAAATTCAATATCATTCATAATCCAGATCATGAACATTTTGTGCTCATTTTTTCAGAATTCTTTACATTATCTGTGCATAGTACACGAAAATTTACTGTCCTTGTTTGCTTTTTGGACTTCTTTTCATGCCAAAAAGTTGGATCTTGTGTGGTATTTTTTACACATTTATTTTCTGTTCTTCAAAGTAAAGACAAATCTTTATTTCATTTTTGGGGAAATGTTTCCTAATTTGTGATCAACACGAGAACTAGTTACATATATACCCATGGAAGTCTAAGGGCAAACATTATCTGAAATGCTGACATTCCAACACAGGGAAAAGGTCCGAGCACCAATTACATCTTCTCTTTTCCCCCTGTACTTTAAATTATGCAAATACTGTAAATAATGCAGTCAAATTGTATGGTACTATCTTCGGAGCACTGTAACAAATAGATTTAAAAATGCATAGAAATACATGGAGTATGAACTGGACATTTTCACAATCTCTCAACATAAATATTTTGGAACGTGTTCATTTTATTCTTTAAACAAGACCAAACAGCAGTCACAGGTTTGCACTTTTCGCATCATACATCATTACCTTAGCTAGCGAAAAAAAAGAACTCATTCTCCTTCAAGAGCAACTTCGGCTTGTACAGCAACAAAAAAAGGTCCTTCGCGATAGAATCTTCTCAATGCGGCCATTTTGACCTGACCGAAGATATCATTGGAATCGGGATGATTCACTATTGTCTCAACGATGTCAAACTTCGCCTCCTTTCCCGCTTTATCCTTGATTGGTCCACGGTCAATCAAGAATTCCATCAACCCTGCAGAAAGAATAAAGTGGCAGAAGTGATTTCCGATGACGAAAACAAAAAAATGATTAATTCGCACCAGGAGAGCTGTTGATGCTCATCAGCCCCCAGCGCTGACTCGCAACCCCTTCCAAAATCCTGAGAGCGGCGTTTCGAATATCAGGGAATGGTTGCTGACACAAGGACACTACTTTCGACATGGGACTTTGTTGGAGCAGACGGAACCACGAATTCGTGACTTCCAACGCTTCATCGCCATCCGGTACACCCATACCCTTAAGGAAAAATACGGATCCGGAAGATCAAAATACAAGGGAAAGCTTCAAAACATACGAGGGTTGGGTTCGTTAATTAATTTAATTGCGTAATCGCGTTTTCTACAATGAATCTTGGATGGAGGTATGAAGGGTTTGGTAATTTTCTCGAAGGACTTCAACACTTCGGCCATTTCATTCACATTTTTAAAACTGTTATCCTACAAGTGGAAACGGCGAGAACGCATTTATGTGCAAGGGTACCCCATCACAGAGGATATGAGCGTTAAACGACACGATGCAGTATCGTATTCTTAAAATTTGTAGCTGATCGACGAGCTAGCCAATATTTCATTCAGTTGAAAATTCGTAGCGACAGTAACCAAGTGCAGATCCGACTAGCATATTCAAAAGAAGTTTACGATCTCGAAACATCAATCGGTTAACAAGAATTTGCACAAGTCAGGCTGCAAAGAGAGGAAATCATCAGCGATTAAACAGAGGCTAAATTCAAGTCTTGTTACTGAACCCACATCGGTCTGGAGGACCACGACTATAAGGAACCGAGGTACTTATGAAACTCAATTACAAGTGGACGATGAACTGAAGGGACTTCGGTACCATTCCTCGCAGCTCGCACATTTACAGGAAAAAAACAAAACAAAACAAACCTTGACAGAAATCAATTGAGCAATACACTGCAGCGCAATAACACGACTTTCAGCAGATCCCGCTTCCGCAACTCTAAAAATCGAGCCAATGTAACGATCCAGTCCTGAAAAGCAAAGGGAACTATGACATTTTGGCAAGAAAATTTCTCCTGCTAAAATACCGTTCTTTTGTAAAGCAAGTTTCCCATCTCTTGACGATCCAATGTGCGCCACAGTCTCCAATGCCACGCTTTGCAAAGCAAAGTCGCCATTCGTTAAACATGAGAACAAGCTTTCAACGAAGCCCGTGTAACGATGAAGAACGACATCTGGTTTACGAGCGGCTACATTTCCGAAAAATTTCATAAGACCTGAAAAATTTGAAAATGAAGAATGCAACAGCAAAATGAAGGAAGAAAAAAAAAAAAAACGAGCGTACGTTCGAAAAATACGAAAATTGAAATGAATTCAAAGTTCGGCTACCTGGAATTATGAAAACCGCCATGGGACTATCATGCCCTTTCACAGATGCGTCAAGAACTTGAAAAATATTTTGTTCTTGAAGGTACTCGAAACCTTGTTGTGTTATTGCTAAATCAGTGAGCAGCTGAAGCGAATTGAGCTGCGACAGAACATCATCCCGCCGAAACTCATCGAGAAGCTTGTCAAGGAATCCCAATTGCGCACATCTATCCAAGGCTACCGGTGAATGCTGCGAAACTTTCACTGCCCACTGAAAAAAAAGTCACACTTATTGCATCAATCCAACACAACGTGAAAATGGACTGAGCAACGGCTTACTTCAAAAACTCGGAATTTGACAGTATCGTTTTGGTTCATTATCTTCAACAACTGATTCGCCACCAAATCAGGATCATCAAGAAGTTCGCGTAAACCTTCTTGGCTTCTGGCTGGAGCAGACAAAATGTCAATGGCTACTGCGGCAATGCTAAGCTCTTCATCAGCTAAACAGCTGGCGCAAGATTTCAGGATCAACGGCGGTAATACGACGTTCGACTCGGTTACTGCTTTCTTCACCTGTCAAAAATTAATGAGCAAGAATAAACTACTTCTCGTGATCGTTCACAGAATCACAAAGCATAAATACGGTGTGTCCCTGAATATTCAACAGATGAAATGAAAAAGCGATCATTTTACCGACGCCCCAAATTCTCGAGCCTCAAACTGGTGTCGCATTCTATCCAGAAAAAATAAATAAATAACAGCTACACTGAACCTAATCTAACGTAAGCGAAGCCAACAAAAAATGCAAGAGACCCCAAAGTAATAAATACTGTAGATCGAAGACTCGGATTATGCAGGGTATGATACACACCCAAAATGAAATGGGTGGTACACGAAGTCATATTCATCATTCAAACAATGAAGACTGCCAAATACCCGATTCAACGCCACAATCCGCAGAGGGGGAAACGGGTGATTGATGAAACCAACGAGATATGCTCCAACTGATTCAATAGCTTCATGATGCGTCAGAGCGTCAAGCAAGACTTCGATCGTCTCACCCAGCACTGTTAAGCTTTCCCTGGAATATGAGACAAAATCGATGATCAACTAAAACGAGTCCGATCCTGAAAAACTTGAATGACATTCGATTCAGTTCCAAGTACAGTACTGCGATCCACCCACAGATGGCGATGGATTTGAATGAATCTATGGTGTAATGAAACATCTAAGGACAAGTTGCAATTCTTCTTCCCCTTTCATCTCGTCCTTCCAAGTTGAAGTCAAGAGGTTAGTACTGTATAATGTACTTTCAAGAGAAGTTTGATCGCCTTGCGAGTAGAAAAAAAGTTGGAGCTATTAGCACATAAATTTAAGCGCATGTCAGTTATGAAGAACTTGAATCATCGCTGAAAAAGGACAAAAATTACCTCACTCTCCCTTCGTTGGATTTTATTGCAGAAACATCGGCGGATAAAGCACACTCAAATAAGGCAACAAGACTTTTGTTCCTCGACTGCTGCGGCCAGGACTGAACTTCAGCCAATCGCTTCGATTTCAGCAAATCCCTCAAATGTTCGATGGCACCCAAATCTGTTGAAGTCGGCCTTTGCGGGATATTCTCCGCCACGCGGACGAGCTCGTCCATACCATTATTTTCATCCATTCCAACCAACGGCAAGGTCGAAATTTAAAATAAATCTATTGATGAAAATGATTGCGTCATCAAATACGAAATTCTAGGAGCGCGTAAATAACTTGTGCCCGTATACCGAAAAACTTTGTTCTTGATATTCAACAAACTCGAGAACCGATTCAACGTTTCCAGATTCAGTCATAAAAAGTACCTGTCTGTGTTTCCGACACAAGCACACAAATCGCGTACAGCAAAAGCTCTTTCATAAAAAACGTTTCCGGACGGACTGTTACAGACTCTCGTTTCCAAATAACCACAAAACCACGGACGGCTTGGACGTGAACAAACATGATTTCCAGACATCACCTCTCTTCGTTAGTAAGTCACAATAAATACGGTGGTTTGAATATACTTCTATACAAAATATTTCTTGGCACTTTTTTGCTAGTTTCGCATCTTGAATTTTTCAACAATTTCTTGAACTACAGAAAGGCAGATTCGTCAACAGGACGACGCAGTCCGGAAGAGATAGACTTTTTCACGGGACTCGACGACACTGAAGCACTCCTCGGAGCGATCATTGTCGGCGATTGCGAAATAACCGGCTGTTGTGGGCGATTCGGGGGCATTTGGTAAACGTAATTTGCTGATCCACGCATCTTGGATCTGGCTTGGAAAAGCTCCCGAATAAGCACCGCTTTCTCCCGTTCCAAAGCAGTGATTCTCTCGGTTTTCTTCCCAACCTCCTGCAAGGAGAAAAAGGTTTTACGATATTAGTGGCATTGAACTTCCGATCGACATTAATTTATGCTCGCGACAGAGCGATCGTGAACAACGAATCTCAAACAGCCAAAACACTATGGTATATTTTTCCCAGGGATATTACCTCTTTAAAAATCGACCTCATACTACTGTATTATCATACTGTAGAGTGTAGACCAACTGTAAATTTTAAAAGCGCCAGCCATAAAATTGAGCCTTCATCAGTAGCAATCGAGTATAAATACTTTCAGTGCAGTGTTATTCTTATTAAAAATTGCACTTAAAACAGACAGGATATGGAGGCACCGACGCTTCAGGATATCACTCAAAAATCAACTTTCATATTCCTGATAATTTTTAAACGTGAAAATGGGTCAAACATTTCCCGAATCACTTCAATTTTATTGCATCTAACCAGGGATTAGGCATCATCGCATAACGTTTATGGACAGAATTGAAAGAGTAACCGGCTTATTTTCGGGAAAACGCTGTAGCTTTAATGCCGATGCTCAAAAGTGGAAGTGAAGCAATGTTACTGTACATACCTCGGTCAACTGCCTGTTTTGATCTTTCAGCCTGAAAATGGACCTGTTGTTGATCTGCATCTGAGCATGTGCCGAATTTAGCGCAGCTGAACTCCCGCTGGTGTCCGTCGGCAGACGCAGGGCCAAGTTCATATGCAACGGGAATCCTTTCTCCGAACTTTCAATGAGTGCGATGAGATGTTGGTTCACTTCTCCGATTCTGGCGCGTTGGAAGTTCAATCGTTCTTGATAAGCTTCACTGTTATGCTCCTGATTAAACAAAAATATGTATGAAGCCGAAGTCCAACTTTCAAACGGAAACGGAATTAGAATCTAACCCAAAGTTGTCCATTTCTGCCAACATCTCGCAGCTTCTCTTCCACAATCGAAACTTGACCAAGATACCAATCTCGAGCCTTATCCAACGTTTTGAGACCAGTCAAAAGCATTTCTCTCTCTTGCTCGACTTGTTTCAGTCTTTTCAGCTGAGGGAAAAATTATGTCAGCATTATTCACCCATACGGGCACCAGGGATTCCAAGAAATCAATTTTACCATATTATAGTCGATCCCGCTTTGTAGAGTATGACGTCGCGGTTCTCGGCGGCGATTGCTTGAGCGCCGCAAAGGATTTCCAACTTCCAGGCTAGCTTGCAAATAACTCACGACCGTTCCACCGCCTCCTCCACCACCCACATCGGCTTCCCAACTTAAATTGTTCAACGATTGACTGTTCGCATTCAGACGGTTTTCTTTTGCCTTCTCCTTCCGACTAGCCGATTCCACAATCGCGCTAATTCATGGAAAGAAAAAATGCAATCATCAATCGCAATGCATAGCTGGCTGGAATCCGTGAACGAAACGCATCCCTCAACGTCACGGACAATGAAATCACAAATCTTGATCTAGTTCAGTGAGCCACTCCTGAAATTCTACTAGGAATTTAATTCTTATTTTTTACGCTTTCACTCCCAAATTTTGGACGTCTCCGTGTTGCCTCAATTTTAAACTTGATCGAACAGGATGAATTCCACCTCACCAACTAACTTGACCTAGAATACACCAAAAAAATATTATAAGATGACAAACCTCAGCTCGAAATCGCTGCCGGACTTCACACTTTCGCTGTCACTATGCAAAAGTCCCATATGCCAACAATGCAAAGCGGCCCGGATTTCCGACTTGCCGGACGATTTCGCATCGGATGATCCAACTCGAGGCGGTTTCGGTGGTCCGACAATTCCAAGTGGGACTGCAGTGGAACCCTTCGGGACTTGTGGTTCTGCGTGCTGCTTCGGACGCTCTGATAAGTTCTCCGCATTCTGTTCTTCATTCAGATGAGGCATGCTGACGGCAGAACGTAGAACCTGTTGCTCTTGCGTTGTCACATTATTTGGACGCACGGTTGCCATGTTGATGACTTTGGAGCCAGGTTTCTTGCTTCGGGAATGTTCGATAGGCATTTCGTCTCGATCTAGGTCAAGCACTGGCGCTGATGGTGGCCTAACTGGGGGAACTGTGGCTGTTTTCGGTTGTTGCGCGCGATTCCGAAGCAGACAAATTTTGAGGCCAGCGCAAAACCTCTCAAAAGATAGCAATCCGTTTCCAGGGGTGACTTTCTTCAGACAATCCACGACGCCTTTTGGGACACCATCCTCTCCGTCGTCTCTCCACTGCTTTTGAATGTCTGTGAAAGCAACGTTAAATTCTAGATCAAAAGACAAGTTTTCACTCATTCAAACGAATAGTGCAATAATTCCCCGGCAATTTGATTCGATGATATTCAGAAAAATAAAGGGGATTAGGTTACCGCCATTCAAAATATACTTCGTCAGCCCATGTTTTGAATGCCTTTGAGAAAAAAAAATCATTAGGCAAATCTTAAACTAAGTACATGAAATGCAATACCGCCTCAAATATTTTGGCTGCAGGACGTTTCACTCACAGATAAGATTCGTCGACTGCGCTAAAAATAAAAAATAAAATAAAATAAGGAGCCAGGTGTTTCCGATATTTCCGTAAATGGTAAAACTTGAAAGCTGAGTCCGATTTCACGCAACAATCAGAGCTAGCCCTCAACACTCAATCAGTATACTGGAGTCGACTTCCGTGGGACTACACAACATCCAGAAATCCAGAACGGCGGCCTTAGCATTTTTATTGAAAAAATTGATTCAATTTTCAAGAATAGTTGAAATTACCTGACAAACGAACGAATCCAGTATTTTGATCATCCATAACATCAAAAAGGGTACGAAGACCCGCAATAAATGGCTCGGGCAATCCATCGAATGCAGCACTGCTATGGAGAGAAGAGATCGTGTTGTTTGCACCGGATCGAAGTTCACTTTTCTGGTTCCACGGTCTAGTGGCATGTTTCTCCATAATCAACACTCACACACTACGAATACTGCACTTCAAAAAGACCTGAAAAAATTCGAAAAAAATGTAATCCGAGTCCCAGTTGCGGATAGCAGTAAGTTCGAGTCGATGCAGAATCACACCAGCAAAATGTTTATCAAGTATCACAACCTTTTCCGTGCTCCATAGAAAACACCAAAAGCCACACAAACGTTCAAAATACTGGATAGGGGTGATTGTTGGTCCCATTACCGCGCAAATCTCAAAAATGTTTCATAGGAAAAATTTTGAGAGATCTTCGGTCGTGTGAACGCAGCAAGTTCCAACTTGACTTTAAAAAAACCTCAGTGCGCGGAAGGCTCAGTGGTGGTTCCGTCAATAACACATAACCGTTTCATGGCAGCAATTGAATAAAAAATTTCAACAAAAAAGACCAGGCTACCGGCCAATCTCGAAAGCACCTACACCAAAAGTACAATTCCGCAAAAATTGTCATCGTCAATGGAAGGATTGCAAGAATTACTGGCGTATTTCGTCACCAAGAAAATTGAATCACGACTCACGAGGGACGAGCTCCCTTCCTGATTTGTCACAATTCTTACGCTGACTCGTCCGTTTTGCGATTTTCACTTATAACAACCGGAGGTTTATAACCATACAGAAACACGGAGAAAATCACCAAGGCAGTTCCAAGGAGAAACTGAAAACTGAGGGACACACCAAAAAACATTACGTTTGCAATACAGCCTATTATAATGGCTATTGATGTGGAAAATCCCTTCAGAATGTTATCAGCGTACTTAACAACTAATGCCACGATCAGTCCACCACTTGCCTTGACAACAATCACAAGCATAACGTAATAATCATAGCCAAAGAAAAAGCTCTTCTCTATGATAACATCGGCATCATATACAGCACTGATAGCTAAAGCCAGTGGTATGGACAGAAAACTCAACTGAACATTTCTCAACCATACGCTGGATACGGATGACTTTAATATTTTTTCAAAGTATACACCTGCAAACCCTGAAAGACAACAGGCAAAAATCACAGCACTAAGACCAACAATCGCCGATTCATCAGATTTCTGGTTTGCAGAAGAGCTGCCAATATTGGCCAATTGCACCAACGCGATGCCGGCGGTTAAGGTGAATAGCGCAAGCCATTGCGTACGTATTAACCTAGTTTGCAGGATGAACACGAAGAACAATGCGGTGGTGAGAATTTTCATTTGGTATGTGACTTGAAATGTTGCTACATCCAAGTTTGACGCTGCAACGAATAGAAAGTTATTCTGAATGACGTACACCAGTGAGATCAAAGCCACTTTGAGGGTTTCAACTGGACTGTTTTGAACAACTTCAGTAACAACCCTATAACAAGAGGAAAGATTCTTCAGACTCCAAAAATTACATGAATATTCAATTCAAAATAAACAAAAATTACACACCTCAAGGCAGGGCCAAGCCCACCCTCTTCGTGAGCCAATAACATCATACTGGCAAACAGCTTCGCAACTTCAACCATCAATGTCGCAGTAGACGTTATGTACAAGTCGTTCGTTCGAACACGGGAATACCGCACCATGATACCTTCCAGCGCATTCTGTCCAGTCAGCAAAAGAAGGCTCAGATACTTCAAGTGCGCATTACTACTTCGCGTAATTTGAACTCCTGGTACAAGTTTCTCAACCATCTCCTCACTTTCCCGCGTTTCCCTAAGGATGAAACCCAAAACTCGATTTCCATGGATCACCCATCGCAGAACATCCAGGGCGAGAGCTGGACGCTGTAACAATACACATCTCGCTGGGAGCATCTGATGCAGCAACTCCCATCCACCACCCATTACAATGTTAAGAAAAAATATGCAGAAATCCACACATCGTCAATAATGAGAAACGCCACACACCGCACACGGAAAACCGGTAAATACGTACGAATTCGTGCAGGTTATCATCACCAGGCAGAGCTACAATGAATACTAGCACTTTAATGAACACATGCACATACAGGTGTTCAGGGCACGGTGGTGTAGTTTCTCGCCGGAGCAGAACTCTTGGTCAGCGAAACTCTGGGCCACTGCACTCCCCATACCCTCACTCCCTCTTCTCGTCACTCTCTTCTTTACACACACTAGTGACAGACTTGAGGATTCGAGTTTACAGTGCGCTGGGTGATGTCACAGGACTATAGTGATACCAGGTCTAGTAAGGATGTTCACACTGGAATAAAGGGTGTCACAGGACAACTTCTTCAAAGTATACAGGAGTGCACTTTTTTGTCATTCAAGTGTTACAAAGTTTTATCCTCTAGCTTCTACACTGATCAGATTTAAAAGTGCAAACCTTCCTGAACTGTGGTTTGAAAAGTTGATGCAGATGGAGCTCAACTTGACTGGTTGTGAGGACTGTTTGACAATTTGATTTGAATAAAGATAACCATCTGGCTTCCGGTTCTTGTCAGGGTGGGAGATTTGGTCGAGTGTTTGAGGTTAGGGATTTTCGGGTAGATGTCGTTACTAAGGTGGACCGGGAGGTATACCTTACTCTCCCCCCCCCCCCGAGAAAAATAGATCAGGGAGTAGTGCAACAAGTGACTTGATCAATTTTTCTTTAAGAAAATGAAGAAGCGTAAGTATGATCCGGACGACGCGTGTCGGTGGGAGCGGTAAGTAAATAGTCGTGGTCGCGGTGCGTCGGAGACTGAAGGGAGAACCCTGACGACGGGTCGGCAAACTGGGCCGCCGATTCCAAATATGGGTCCTGGTTCTGCGATAGATGAATTGGAGCAATTTTCGTGGACCATATCGGATCGGGTGGTCTGGGAAGGCCGCGCGCGGGTACGAGTTCCCACGCATTCGCCCGACAAATTTCTGCTCCTGCCCCCACGTGATATTGGCCCTGCCCTAGATCGCGGATGATAATAAATGGACCGAGCTGTTGAATTCGAAAACGCCGGTCCGCCGCATGCTGTTTCACTGTTGGTAATCGTGGGCAGATTGCCACCAGATCACCTGGGCGGAATTTGGGCCACTTCTTCCGATTGGCTGAGTGGGCGAATCCGTCGCGTGCTTTCGCGTTCGTTTCGAAGATCTGGTTGCTCGCCGACTCTATGGGTGGAGGCTCGACACCGAAGATTGTATCGGACTCCAAATTCGCAGGTCGATTAAAAAAAACTTCGGTGGGTGACATACCGGTGGCGGAGTGGATGGTATTATTATATGCCAATACCGACCGATGCATATGTGTAGCCCAAGTTTCGGGTGTCCCTTGCACAAGTTTTGACTGGATTTGGCCCAAGGTGCGTATGGCCCGTTCACAACATCCGTTCCCCTCGGGATGTGTGGCCTGCGCGACGTGTTGTTTCACACCGGCATCGCGAAAGAACCATTTAAACGCGCGTGAGCGGAAAACAGAATCGGCGTCGGTATGCACATATTCAAAGAGCCCGAACTGCCTGAAAAGGTCCGCCAGGAAGGGTATCACGGTCGTCGCGTCTGCGGATTTGGTCAGCTTAGCAACCATGTATTTGCTAAAATGATCGACCGCGATAATTGCGTACCAAAATCCCTCAGATTCTGGTTGCGGGCCATAAAAATCGACGGTTAGTCTCTCGCGCGGATAGGATGAAATTATTGGTTCAAGATAGGTTCCCACCTTAGTTGTGCTGATGTTATACCGAAAACAGGTGGCGCAGCATTGAATCCGCTTCCAGACGTCCTGGCGCAGAGATGGCCAGGCAAATCTGGTCTTGAGGGTCTGATAGATAGTTTTCCAGCCCGCATGACCGAGTTCTGCATGGTAACTATCAATAATGCGGGTGCGCTCGGCTTCGGTTGGGACTTCACGGCCCTCTGCGGCGTTTACCGTTACCCGGCTGAGGGCATCGGGGCCCTTTAAAAATCGGCCGGGTTTGTATACCAGCTTTGCATTAAAAGGCGCGAGTTTAGTTTTTAAATAAATGAGTCGCGTGGTTTTTAATTCTCCCAACAGCGCTTTGTGGTCAGTATAAACAGTGAAGTCCCGTAATTCCAAATAATGGCGAAATTTTTTCGTTACGGACCAGACAATGGCCAACAATTCGCGTTCAGAATTGGAATAGCGGGACTCCGTATCATTGAGAGTGCGACTTGCATATTCCACCACTCGGGGTTGGCCGCTTTCGTCGATTTGCACGAGTATGGCTCCGAGAGATGTCGCGGACGCGTCGCAATGAACTTCCGTGGCGCGGTTGGGGTCCATGCGCTCGAGGCGTGCGGACTCCGCGAGAACGTCTTTGAGATGGGTAAAGGCTTCGATAGCTTCGGGATTCCAGGTCAAGCGGGTCAGCGGTTTGCTGGGGATAATTTGCCGAAGAATTTTTTCCGATGCTGCGAAGTTCGTCGGCAAATGCGCGCGAAGATAAGTTGCCATTCCGAGAAACCGCTGCATTTGGCGGGTTGTCTCGGGTTTAGGAAATCGGCGAACCGCATCGAGATCTTTCTCAAGGGGTCGGGTCCCGGTTTGGTCGATTTCGTGACCCAGGAATACCGTTTTCCGCGCTAAAAAATTAGATTTCAAAAGATCAACGGCGGCGCCGGCTTGCGCTAAGACGGAACAGATGATGTCCAAATTCTCGCAGACTTGCTCGAAAGATTGCCCAAAGACGATTATGTCGTCCATGTATGCTAAGCAGCGGACAAACAAATGATCGCGGAGAATATGGTTGACTGCCCTCTGAAAAGCCGCCGGGCCATTTTTAAGGCCGAATGGCATGACCCGATATTGCATTTGACCTCGCGGGGTCCAAAACGCCGTTTTGGGGCGATCCTCCACGGAAATCGGCAGGTGATGGAACGCGGAATGCAGGTCTAAGCTGCAGAAATACGCATTATTGCGCCCGAGCGCGTCTAGCAAATCTTGTATGACCGGCATCGGGTACCGGTCGTCCGCTAAAATGTTGTTAATGCCTTGATAATTTTCGACCATGCGCCACCTTCGATGAGGGAGGGCGTTAGGGTCTGGATTCTTTTTTCGCGTGAGGAAGGCTGGCGAGTTATACGGCGACGAGGCAGGCTCGATGAGGCCTGCTTCTAAATATTCGTCCACCAAGGCGGAAAACAACACATTCATCTCGGCGGATTGGCGGAAAGACTTGGTATTCGGGATCTCGTTCGCAATTGTTTTCAGAGCCACCATATGCTCCGGAAAAAAACCGCGACGGCCGGACCATTGATGAATTAGGTCGGAATGCTGAAGGAGAATTTCGGTTACCCGTTTTCGCTCCATTTCTGACCCATCGGTAAAATTAATCCCTTCTCCCAGGGGTATGGTTGGAGGCGCGCGATTTTGAATACTCCGTTGGAATCCGACAAACGCGCGATCGCCGTCAATGGTCAGCGCGAGTGGAAAATGTCGGAGCGCGGTCCTACCAAGGAGGATGGGTGGGTCTGAGAGGTGGGGCAAAATCAAAAATGGTATCGAATATTGAAGACCGCGGAAAATGAAATCGATAGTCACTTGTTGAGCTACAGAAGCGGTATCCGAAGTTAACGCCGTTAAGACGTGGATGGAGCAGGGACGGGGTGATAATTTAAGTGAATCGACTAACCGTTGTGACACGAACGCGTGAGATGCTCCGGTGTCCACTAATGCGGGAATGAAGGAGTCTCCAATTTGTAAAGGAAGGACGATCGGAGGAGGTGCGGCGAGATCCGTATCCACACAGTGAGCCGCATTCACTGTGGCGGGCGCCCGTTTCCCTGTAACAAGAGTGGACAATTACGTCCCACATGTCCCGGGGCATTACAATGAAAACAATAAATAGAGTTAGAGTTCGCGTTTTGCGTTGAATTTGTTGCGGCGGAACGTTGCGCCTGATTGGAAGCCGCGTTATCTGCTGAAGCGGGTCCGGCTCGGTTTTGCTGCCTCAACAGTATCCGACAATCTTGGGGAGAATGTCGAACGTGGGCTTGGTGCCCCTCGCGCCATTGTCTTTGAGGTCGGAGGTTGTGGGACGACTTTGAGGTTGATTTCGAACTGGTTCCGCTTCGGTTTGTGGCATGGTGGTGCAGACAATATCTTTCAGCTTCTGCTATTGCCTGCGACCAGGTCCAGTTACGATCGTCGATCCACTTCCGCCGTAACTCGTCTTGCAACCCGGATGGGGCAGCAAGGACGAGTTGTTCGATGAGCATCTTGTTTCGGATGGTCTCCGCTGATACCGGTTGCTGAGGTGGCGCAAGAAACGAGTCAAACGAGTGTTCTAACCTGCTGGCGAAGCTCACGTAGCTTTCCCCCGACTGTGGACGTAGCAACCGAAACCGGTCCAGGCGATCCAGGTGAGGCGTGGGATGAGAAACTGCGATTGCTGCGGCGAGGTCCTCGAATTCTCTGATTCCGCGTCCGTATAGAATGGACGCCGTTTCGCGAACCAGGGGTAAGGTCTTATTGATTAAGCACCAAACCTTAGCATCGGCGGAGACATTGTTGATCGCCGGCATACGGCGTATCTGGTCCGCATAGTCCTCGAATGACTCCGAATCGCGTTGCCGCGGGAGGTCGGACAGCTGCGGTTCTCCTGGGTAACGGTTGGGTGGCGGTTGACTCACGGTTATTGCTGGCGATGGACTGGCGATGATGATCTCCTGACGGTCGGGAGGATTCCAAGTCGTAATTTGCAGGTCCAAGGGGCGGAGGTGCCAGCCCGGAGGCGGTATCCAGCCCGCGGCGAGGGACTGCGGGATCCTGTTGGTCTCCAGAAGCTTCACGTAGTCCGAACGATTGTTGCCAGCTGGTGGGCCCAAACGGTACGCCTCAACCAGGTACTGCAGGGTGGGTAGCGGGATAACGTCCCACTGGTTCCCGGGTGTATCCTGTTGGTCTCCAGAAGCTTCACGTAGTCCGAACAATTGTTGCCAGCTGGTGGGCCCAAACGGTACGCCTCAACCAGGTACTGCAGGGTGGGTAGCGGGATAACGTCCCACTGGTTCCCGGGTGTCGCCGGAGGAGCTTCCAGTGGTGGAGGGTTCCGCTGTTGAGGGTTTTTGGCCGGGGGCTGCTGAGCTGTGGATGACCCGGCGGGATTGTCCGCTGGCGGAGTCTGAACTTGCTCAGGAGGCACATACGGCTGTGCCGCGGCCTTAGAATTTTCCGTGTTTCGCGTCATTGCTTTAGTGACGTTGACGCGATCAGAGTTCTGAAGCCGGACGAACCCCCAGTAAGGTTTTATGTAAGAGTCCTCGGCCAGCGTCACAAAGTAGACTGTATTTTCAAAGTCCACACAGCAAATGACAGCAACACAATCACAGATGGCAGCAACACAAAATCTTGGAAGTCACAAACATAAAAACAACTGTCTTCGTCAAAGGTTAAGAGCGAAGTGCCGTACACTGGATCTCATCCGCCTCTCCTCCGATCTTGATAACCATCTGGCTTCCGGTTCTTGTCAGGGTGGGAGATTTGGTCGAGTGTTTGAGGTTTTAGGGATTTTCGGGTAGATGTCGTTACTAAGGTGGACCGGGAGGTATACCTTACTGAACACATGCACATACAGGTGTTCAGGGCACGCATGAAGAGGCATTCCCCATGATGCAGTGGAGTATTTCAAGAGCACAGAGATTTTGCGACATTTTTCTCAATTCTGGCCACTCCACTGTGAAGGGCGTCCAGAAGTCCGTCCACCCACCGTCTTGTACTGTACTCTACAAAGCTGTTCAATAATAAACTACTACTGTAATAATAACTGTGTTCTACCAAACCTCTGTGTATGGTATGTGATGCAGTGGGACTTTGTCAGGTCTCAGGTGTTACCATGAATTCCGCCATTGAGTTCATTTTATTCCATTGGTTATGCTGATGAATTGCGGACTTATTTTCATGCCTTTATCCACCAAGTGAGGAAATAAATTCAGATGTAATCCTAAATTTGAGGCAATATATTGTGGATGTGCATTAATATAAGATGCATTGAATTTCAGATATATTTAAATTAACTCAGCCAAGTTGTTGTCACATGTTCAATTGAGGATCACAAAAGAATGAAAGAAAAACACAGGCAATCAGCCCTATTGAGGCCAAGAACACATATTCTAGGGGTCAGTGGGTCACCTTGAATATATGTTCCTGGTTTTGAAATGACATTTATCCAGACATTTTCAATTAAGAAAATCAAGAATCAAATGAATCCAACAGAATAAATTCACACACATAATAAATACAATCACAAGATCAGTTCAAACAAATACGCATCACAGATTTGTATACAAATCAGTTAGTAAGAAGAAAGGAGATGATTGTCCCTCAAGAGTTCAGAACACACTGCTTATAAATTCAAATTAATGAGCGCTTTTATCAGTTTCTTGGAATTTTCTGGTCAGGTCATTATATTCTTACATTATATTCTTACATATTCCCTGGCCTGTGATTGGCCAAAGTAAAGAAAATCAAAGAAATCATTGTACTGCATCATCAGCTGATGCAGGAGGGAACCTTCATCTCATTTTCTCCTCAGCAACATGCTTCTGAAAAACTTGATAAATAGAAGAACATTAATCCTGAATGAAAGGTTTGTAAAATTAAGATTTGATCAAATTGAATACAGTAAAAGAATAAAGAAATACGCATCTGTTTTTATGACAGCCTGCTGCAACCGTCAGAAGCAAATGTTTAAATAACTCGGAGACAACTCCCGATTTTATATGTAAACTGAGGTCATTTTCATAGCAGGAAAAATCGATCAAATTTAGAACGATTGATAATTTTTCCATCACAGTGAGACCGATTTTTTAAACGTACTGCTCGCTGAATTCCGTCACGATAAATTTGTCGTGTAAGCTATTCCATTTACCTATGATTATCAAAACGAAAAAATCAGGAAAAAAATTCAGGATATCTATAGAGTTCAGGTCCGTGCTTAATATTGGTCTGTTTAATGTAAACACTTTGTGTCGATCGGAGAAATGACTAGTTTTTGAAGGACGAATTTTCATGAATGCTGGTTCAATACCTCATTTCATTACCCCGCAGACTTGGCCCAATGGTAAATGACCTCCGTGATATCACTTGAAAGAAAAATTCCACGAGGAAAGTGGATGCATTTTCCCCCGTAATAATCGTACATATTTTTGGGACAGGTAGCTGAGTGACCATCAATCTTACACTTCTAAAATTTGATTCATCCTAACATCAGGAAATATTTCCCTCTCCAAAATTGATGCCTGTATGTTGTCCAACCATATATTTTCAGCGTGTTTTCTGCACCGCAGGATGAACCAGGACCACTCAGTATTACCAGCGTTAATTTTTCTAAAAATTCCCTGCTTGTCCGTCCCATATCAACATTTTCTGACTCATTGTGGATGTCCAGTGCTTCCTTTGTATATCTGTTCCACAAAATAATCTTCACAGAGCAGGCATCGACAAAAAATAATGACTGCTGGGAGTTCACTGACTTTCTTTCTCGCTACTTCCTTTCTAGAGATAAGCAGAGCGAAATCTATTCCAGAATGGGGAAAAAACTATGATATTGTGCTTCGTAAAGCGTCAGAAAAAGCAAGGAATTTCTATCTGAAACAACTTTTTAGTTTCCTGTGGGAAAGCATCCAAGCAACTGCTGGTCGAAGGATCTCTGCGCAAAAGCGACGACATCAGAGTGCTTATGCAAAGAGCAATGGAAATTATTCCTGTTCGAAAATCGGTGAGCAATATTGAATATTTTAGGTGAAATGGAACAGAAGGTTAATAAAGACGAGTGTAACCTATTTTATTATACTCTGGAGTATTCTGGAAACCTGATAGCTGCTTCGGGTTCATCCACTGCCGTGATGTGGGAAAATTTTATCCGAAAATAAAGAAAGTTTTTATGAAACATTGATTCCTTCTGTATAGATGTGAACTTTTTTTTAAAGAGAGCTTCGATGGCTTCAACTATCGATGATATGCTTGAAGATTGCGTACTGTATTCAGAAACAAGAGCAACAATTTTACACGACATCGTAGAACAAGAAAAAACTTTCAAGACTTCGTGTTCGAGTACAAAATAATAAATCTCCAGCGAGCTTGAGATGATGGCTTCTTTGAGAATGATTCAATTTACAATTCCCAGAAAGATTTTTGTATTTACTTCATATTTTCAGTGGTCACTAAAAAATTCAACCGCATTAATGCTGCAGACAAAATAAGGGTTCCCTTTGCATGCATGCTTTTTATTTATCCGTAGTGCTTTACTATATTTTATCGCTCGCTTCGAGTTTCAAACTGTCATTTTCTACAAATTTTGTCAAAGACAGAGTTTTAGCAAATGACTTGTAGCAACTTTTTCCATGAAAAAGTCCTCAAAGCGTCGGATTGAGTAGGAACATCTTGAAGTATGAATGCTGTATGCGAACATCACGAGCTTTCTCGCAATAAATTGTAGCTTAGTGTTTGAAATTACTGCGCTTGAGATAAAACAACCATTAGAAAGAAATGCATTCATTCCAGTGACGGCAGAAAAGGTGTTGAACAGCTCCTGCTGCTGATCATATGACATTTATGAACCACATCCGTGTTTGTTTCCCATGTTGATGTACGCTGCATTAATTTCATTCGAGGTTTCGACTTCTTCAATGATTTACGATGTAATGGATTTTCTGAGTTTATTTATAGATTTTATAAAATTTTTCGTACGCAGAGTATCCTGTGCGACATCTAGCAATTATTGAATGGTTACAGTATATTTCTGTCGCCGGGCTAACTTCCGATTTTTCCCCGTTGATGCCTCATGATTTTACTTTCCCCCAGGGCAAATCACGACGATTTGCCCTGGGGGAAAGTAAAATCATGAGGCAAAAACAGGGGAAAATCGGAAGTTAGCCCGGCGACAGAAATATACTGTAACCATTCAATAATTGCCAGATGTCGCACATGATACAGGTGGACTCTCTCTACAATTAAATTTAGAGGAACGGAATGAAAATATCATTCTTGAGAGAATTTATGTGCAGAGATTCCCTTTAACATGGGTAGAGAAATTTGTGGCACAAAAAAAAAATCATTGTACAGTACAGAGAAAAATCACTGGAGACAAGATTGTTGGAGAGTGAGAGAGTATTACAATGTTCGTTATTTACCATATTTATTTGGACACCACACACCCTCCTGAAAATCGGAAAATCAAAAAAAGCTGAATCTGTTGTGTGGTTCCATTTTTTTCCCAGTGATATTTTGTCGTCTTTATGAGAAGTTAAAATGTGCTTGCAATAAATAACAGCATCCTCAATTACATGAATATTTTCTTCGTCCTCCACTTCCCGACACATCTGTGGCAAATTGCAGCAGCGTAATAAATATGGGAGAAAAAGTGCAGAAACTTCTTGAAGATGCGCACTTCCCTTCTTTATTTCGCGGCGCAAAAAGTCGGCGGGTTGATTTGAATAAGCGAACATAAAAATATAAAAAAGCCGAACTTATTGTTCTTTTCTTCCAATTCCAATTTTGTTTTTGTGCATCCCAAACATTTTAATTGGTGTTTGAATAAATCAGTAAATATTTTGAGGAGCGATTGGTAAAGGGCTCCTCTGTTGCAGCCGCTTAATAACGTATTTCTTCATTTTTTTTCTTCGTATCCTTCCTTTTTATTTCAGTGACAGAATCTTCAACTGATACATTCCTGAAATTCTTATATAGCTTGAGCCTTTATTTTCCATGGACTTGGCGCCACACATTTCCTCCTCTTTTTTTTTCTTTTCTTTGCCAAGATTCATCTGTGAGGGGCACTGTTTTTTTTGGGGGTTTTTCCTTAAAAAATGTATTCTCAAGTTCAGTATACCATACACACGACCCTGTTTTTCTGCCTAAATTTCTGGAAATTAGGTTCGTGCGGTTACTTGAGGGAATACGTTACTGTACAGTACTGTATTTTTACTTCTGCTGGTGGGTTTTGTTGCAGACATTTGCGACTGGGGCTTTGTGGCTGTTGGTTACTTGCCTGCTTCTGCTGCTGGCCGCGAACACAGGGGACGCCGCTCCGTTCTATTACGGCGGCAACCGCGGGTACGGGGGCTACGGCGGCGGCGGCTACAACAACCCTGGCTACGGCGGCGGATTCGGCGGCTACCGACAGCCGCATCAGCAATTCCAGCGCCAAGAATCTTTCGAGAACAGCAAGACGTCTCTCAACGGCGGCCTCGCCGGCAAGTTCGAGCTCGGAGGCGGCCTGAACTTCAACCACGACGCCGTCAGGGGAGCCACGAATTTCGCCCAGGGCATCTTTGGTCGCCGGCGCTGAGATTCGGGAGTACAGTACGTCCGTGGATATACAGTATGGTTTGGCCAGAGCCAATAGTCAGCCAAATATTGCCTCTGAATGAGAAAAGTGGGGTTTCTCCTCTTATTAGGCCTTATTATTCCTGCTCATCAACTTTGTATTTTATCCGTGCTGGAGCCGACTCCTGTGTATGAAGATGAGCGTTCCCGCGCTGGATTATTATTTTAGCATCACCTGTGTATACATAGTGTGGTTCTATACTGTTATTCTTGCCTGTGTTATTTCCTGTGGTCTATTTCCATTGTGTTATTGCTCGAAACTTGGACATAAAAGACTGAGAGGTGTTGTAATAAAAATAAATACAGCCTTGTCTTCGTCTTTGTAGCCTTGGATGCAGTACCGTTGGTGCTTCAAGAAAGCGCATTTAAATTTTTTCGTTTTTCGTGAAGGTTTTTTTTTTTTGTGATACAGCACACTATTTATTTTCAAAGTCGAAAGCTTGGCGGGAAATAACGTCATTCCCATTCCTATCGTAAAAATATAAATAAGGCCTCGATGAATCATGTGCACTATATATCAAGACACTCTCTACATCGAATTAAACATCCAACTGAAAATTGCGTGGTAGCTATCAGCTTGTTATTACAGACGAAGCAGAAGTTCCCGAAGTGGTGATTTGCTGAGATTCATCTTAGATATGAAAAAAAAAAAGATTCATGAAAATCGCCTCAAGCTTGCATAATAAATACCTTGCAGTAATTCCTTTAAATGTACCTCTGACGAACAGGTAAAATTATTTTTATGCAAAGCATACCCATAAATTCCACCTAACTTAAAAAAAAACGCCTTTAGATTCGCTCTGTAAAGGTTTCAATTATGTTCTTTAATTTTCACATGCAATGCAATGCCTGTAAAATAAATGCTCAGAATATCGAATGAAATAGTCTCAATTGCATAAAATCGTGATTGAAAAACTCAGATTTGAAGCCTTGAAACTTTTTTTTTGTGCGAAAAATCAACATCCCGTGTTCGATCAAGTTCGCAAAAATTGCTGATTCACCACAGCAGTGCCTTTTTCTCTCTGAATTTATGCAACTCACTGCCCAGCATATTTTTCTACACACATCTTCAATAACGGGTTTTTTCGACGACACCATTTTTTTTTATGCATTTCTTCATCCGACGCAGAATCCAACGGAAATTCGGCTGAAAGCCTGAGTTCATTGTGCGAAGAAAAACGCACGTCCATTATCCGGGGTAAAAGGAAAAACACTGCTCTGGATTCGAAACGGGAATCCCGGTTGAAGGTCCATGTCTTTTCCCATCAACTGAAGGAAAACCTGGCACCACTCCTTGGAAACGGAACAAAAACAGAAATTCCCCGGAATTGGTGGGAAGAGTTCATGCGCATTATTCATCCATTCACCTTCCTTATGCAAGCAACAAACATTTCCCAGCCTTGACAAGAGAACTATTTTCTTTGGACCAACTGGAAGGACTGACAGTTGACGTGAACGAAGGGGTCAATGGAGGAACCTTTTTTTTTTTGGTTTTCCGAAATCATGTCGATGTGAATGTCACTGATTCCAAGAGTGTGTATTTCGAGCATTTCAATCGATAAACTGATCTAATTCCGCGCGGAAGAATCACGCACGCGTTTGGATTTCTTACTTTGAAGAAAAAATGTTGAATTCTGTATTCTTGATGTAGAAATTTAATTCCTCATTTCAGATTCTGAACACGGAGGATCACGTATCAGCTCCCGATATGATTCCCGCTTTTTGTAGCAAAAAGGTCAGAGTTTGTCCTTCGTGTCTTTCATGCATCTCAATTTTATTTATACTGTACCTTATTCATCGATTCCACCATCATTCCCATCAATTTTTGAATTATTTTGGCTTTCATTTCATGATTCAAAATTGAAAAAAAACTGAAATATACCTCGCGAAAATTGTGCAGAAGATCGATGGAATGTCCAGTTGAAAAATATGTAAAATATTCCCAACGGTTGAAGGTGTGATGTGATTTTCGTAATTCATTTGAAGTTTATGTGCGAACATACCGTAACAAGTGAGCATGTATAACTTCAAAGTGGCGAAGAAAATCATAGCAAGATATACTGTATTACTAACAAAAAAATCGTTGTTTCGTAGTAATTTCAGGATTTAAACTTCTTCAATATAAACTCAACCGAGCTAAACACAGTTTGCATACGGTACAGCCAATCATCAAAGTTTTCCTAGAACTTCTGAATCACTCGATATTGTGAAAACCTGAAAGAGCGGAAGCTTCAAATAATAAACGTGGAAATTATATGTTATGCGTGAAAGATTTTTATCACGAAGGAAACCTGATTGAATTGCATTCACCACAATTTTGTTATGGCGTCTTCGTCGCTTGTTATGAAGTAGTTCTGCTTTCGACTTTTTTTCACGAGTTGAACCGCCTATAATACAACGCTTTATGTCTTGTAAATAAGGGATGGAAGTGGAACTCTCTTTCGGTTCCCTATTAAGAGAGAAACGAATTTTCGAACGTACCCTCATAAAATTATTTTTAATTGGATATATCCTGTTGGAAAATCGCTGCCAGTTCTCGTGAATCGAGATTTTTGGTAGAAACCAGGAAAAAAGCAGGATTTAAGGACTGAGTTCTTGTTTCTTGGAATTCACCTGGTTATTAAAGCTAAAGAAGGATATATGAATAAAACAAAAAGTTGAGAAGGGTCTCCCACAAAAATGAGAAAATTCCAGAGTGATCTTATGCACTTATCAATTGTATAATCTGCAAAAAGAGAAAAGCATCCTGTTCTGTTGAAGCAATACAGTGTTTTGTTATTGGAATTTAATCCTTCCCCCTTTAAAAAATAAAAGAAAATTTATAGATGCATTCAAGGGCAAATGAAACACCGCAAAAAATCTATTGTTATTTTCAGCAAGTCTGCATCAATATTTTCCTGTCTTCGGCTCTAATTTTTCATCCTTCCGACTGTGAAATTGTTCCGATTTTTATTTACTATACTATTTTTTTGAACTTTGAGGCTCATCGAATAATTGATCAGCAGTTTAAAAAGTCAGCTTTGTCCCTCGAAAATTTTAATCGAGACCTGAACAGCAGCAAGAAATGAATCTCACAGCATCACGAAGGAATGCGTTGAATAAAAAATAAAAAATAATAATAACTGCACTAAACTCCGTATTCCACGTTTATTCATCCTTTTCCGCCATCTCGACCTTCAAGGTTGAAACCACGATAATAACTCTGAATATTATGGAATCCAAATTACCCCAATGACTTGCTCATTCGACAATGTCGATATGGTCGCAGTATATTTTTTATTCTATACAGTTCAAGGCGTGTCTCAGTAATTTTCGAACTCCGTGAGTCTGCTTTATGTGGTCGTTGTAGTAGGAAAGAAATGATTACAATATTCTAAGAATTGGTTAAAAGTTAAAATCTAGGCGGCAAAATTGTGATCATCTGAAAAAAAACTAGATGCTTAAGAAATATCATTCTGTAACACACATTGGTCATTCATTCCCGCTGAAACTCGTTAACTCTGACCTCCAATGGTCGATTACTGCCCTATATCAAATTGTTTCCAAGTCCCTGTAAGAATCAATGCATTACAAACCTCCCTATATACTGGAAGGCTTTCTTTGCCAATCAAACCTCCTTAACCCAATTTTCATGGAGGCCTTTTAGCTATTATTTTATTGACAAAGGAAAAATACAAGAAATTACAGTGTAACTTGATGTGTTTTGAAATGAAATGAAAGACGAATTTCTCAAATTAACGCCATATCACATCAACTCATTCAAGAACCAATTTAATGTCCAGAATATCGACAATCACAATTTCTTTCAATTCTTCTTTCTTTCCCGCAATACACAAATGCTTCTCGCTCTTCCACTTAGACCCTCCCTAACTCTTAATTTTCTGCTGGTTCTTTTGAATTTTGATTTAAAGAGGGTGGACTGCAAAAACAATTTTGGTTCCTGATGAAGCAACCCAGCTTGCTGAAAGTCATCTTCTGATCGTTTCTCTGATTCAGTCGCCATTAATTTATTTTTCATCTATACGTCCGGAAGCCGAGTTCACGCTGTAATAACAATCGTTCATAGTAGAACGAACGGTTATAGGAGCGGACGTTTTGCTGCGGAGAAGGCAGGGGTGTGGTGGTAGTCGTTACCCCCCTGCTGATCGACTACTACAATAACGGCTACCAACACGGCGGCTATTACGGCGGCTACGGAAGACCGTATCCGCCGCCACCCGTGGGCGGAGTCGCGTCCCAAGAAGTGTACCAGCAACAGCACACGCAGGCCAACGGACAGCTGCAAGGACAGTTCAGCTTGTCCGGGGGACTGGACATCGGTTCCACTCTCGTCCAGGGTGTTCAGCAACTGCTCAACGGACGGCCTCTCGTCATTGGCAGGCGATAGAACAGCGTGCTAAAATGTTATGTGCTGCCATGCTGAAGGAAGATTTTGTGTGTGTATGATGTGTGTTTGTGGGGAAATTTGAAAATGAAGCTTATTTGTTCTGAGCATTTCTTCAATATCCGTATGCTGAAATGAGAATTATGATCTGGAGATGGGGATTTTCAAGATAAAGAACGTCAAACACTGCATGGACAATTGTATCACCTGACGAACTTTTTATTTTTAAAGCGCGCATATTTACATTTGTAAAGACAGTACCTTCATGTTTTATGATTATTTTTACACATAGCAACCTATTCTAAACATTTCGAAGAATAGTTCTGGATTTTATGGTCAACAAATCAGTACAGGTCTTTTGAAACTTCCTGCTGATGTAAGCCGGACACTAAACTTGATTTGGTACTCACATACTTTTCTACAACATTACATTGAGTATCAGATGGTTAAGAAAATATTCTGCAAAATAATTTGCCAATTACGAAATACTTTAGTAAACCTACCTAAATCTTTCTAGAGGTGTGGAATGATTGAATAGCTACGAAAGCGAGCAAATAAATTGCTATCATAATGCTACATCTTCGACAATATTCAGAAAATAAATTCTGAAATTTCCCTCCAATAAAGAAGAACGGATTATAGAAGCAGACTCTCACTATAGAACAATGTTGTCTACAACGATCTTCTATGTGTAACGATTTTCTTTTTGTAGTTTCAGTGAGGTTCTCTCTCCGTGTTCTCTACAAGAAAATTATCTCTGCAACGATTTTTTTAGACCCTTGTATTTATTGTTGCATAGAGAGCGTCCAACTGTAAGTATATCTCTGCCATTTCCATTTAGTTTAAAATGTTTCTCGTCCGCCTCTGATTCTGTCTTTTTTTTTTTTTAAGCCAAAGCACTTAAAAAAAAATGTATGACACCTATT